AAACGTTTAAAGGTATTGATAGCATTGAACTTCAAACGATATGCCAATAAGGTACAGTTTTTAAACTATAATATAGTTTATTATATTAACTGTTCAAAATGTGTTATTTCGTTTTAAATTGGAAACTACGACCAGTCATTGCTAAGATTTCATAGTATTTCAAATTAAGAACGTGTGAGTTTTGGTGACATCGGTAGTAATCGAGGCTTAAGCCACTTCCCTTGGTTTTATTTTGGTGAAGAAAAAGAAGAAGTGTCTCGTGTTCAATTCCCGGTAGGACCTATTAAATTGGTCTGGTGTTCCGGGCAGTGCCCCGTAGTAAATTCCGTTCTACTCTAGTATTCATAGCACAGGGATTTTCCTTTTTGAGATCAGGTACTTGGAGTGGTTATCTGGTAATATGCCAGACATAATTATAATATATGACTAGTGTTCTATATGTATTTTTGATAATCATTCTTATTGTTTGTTTTTATTTGTTTTTTCAGCCAAGGTAGCGTTTGTGGACCTAATCAAATAAATGTATTTTCTTTCCTCTTTCTGCTTTTCATTGTAGTTTTTAACGTGCAATGATGAATATTCCATTAATTAATTCATTCCCAAACTTCAGTGGAATAACATAATGTTTATATAGAGGAAAATGGAGACGGGCAGGACACGTTGCTAGGTGGTACAACGACTAATGGACCAAGGCGGTCACTGAGTGGTACCCGGTAGGTGGTCGGACGAAAAATGAGTCTCGCACAGGACCGATGGACCTGGCATTCAAAAGAGGAGGCTAATACCAGCAGAGGGTGTTAACGGGCAGAGATGATGATGATATAGGGGATGATATAAATAGTTGTAGCAGTGAGAAGTGTGTGAAAGAGTTCGACTAGTAAAGTACTGCCACCTTACCTACTTCTGCCAAGCAGTAATGTGAGTATTACTGCGTGGGTGCTGGTGAAATACAGGCCGTCATGTGCACTTGTCAACTTATATCTCAAGGGTGACGGGCGCAGTGACGGTGACCCTCAGATCTTTGCGACATAAAGCTCTGAGTGGCACTGCAACTGCTACGGACAGGCGTGACGCTTACCGCCAGGCCAACGATTTGTTCGTACCGACACTTGGTATCGTAAAAAAAATGTATGATGGTTTTTTTTTTTTTTTTTTTTTTTTTTTATAATAACGCACACACTCAACATAGCCCCACACTAGGGAAACCCTGTGTCGCGGGTGCCATGGACACACATAGACAACCACAAATTACACCCAAACTCACGAGAGAAATAAATGTAGGCCATACAAATATTTCTCCCGGCCCGGGAATCGAACCTGGGACCTCTGCGTGGCAGTCCGGCATGGTAACCGTTCGGCCACAGAGGCAGTTAAAGGTTAGTGAAGATAATAATTTCAGATTGCAATGACTTATTCTGTCAGTTTAGTTAGAAGTAACACACTTCCAGTTCAATAGATTTAAAGCCATTCATTCTAATCATACACTTTCACATAGGATATTTAGGTGAAATTTTGGATCTTGTGCTGAGTACGCTAACGAATGTGAATGTAGGCTTAGCACAGGATCTACTTAGTAAGCCTGATCATTACCATCCTAATTTGCTGATAGATGTTACAGACTCATGCTGTCTTACTTATTTGCCAATGACTTATGTCATGTTAATGACAGTATAATTTTTACAAACCAGATTATGATGCTGTGATTGCTGACCTTGTTAGGGTCCATTGGAACTTGGAATTTGAGGAATATCTGCATATTCCTATATGTAAATGGAATGGTTTCTTTATTTTATGTTGTGGTTAATAGGATCGTTGACAAATTTGTTCGTAAGAAACGGACAACCAACAGTAAATATCCACTCTCGTTTCCCAGAAATCTTCTAAATTATTAACTGTGAAGAATAAAATGAGACAACGTTGCCATAAGTACAATAATCTAAGGGACACATTCGAATACGATCTACTTCGTGAACAATGTGATAAGCTACAGCAGAATTGTTACAAAAAGTATAAGACCAGAATTGAAACTGACGTACTAAAACATCCTAAGCTCTTTTGGCACTATATTAGGAACAAGCGAGGGGGTAGTTCGTTATTACCAAGTACTTTGTGCTTAAACTCAGTCACTGCCAATACTGGACCCGAAGTAGCAAATTTGTTTGTTGACAATTTTTTCATCGGTTTCCACGAACTACGCTATAAAGTCTAGAATAGTTCATTCGTTCAATGGACAAATTTTGCCCTTCCCCCGATTTAATTACGTTGACGTACTTAAAAAGCTTAAAGGATTAGATATTAGCAATGGTGCAGGTCCAAACGGTATTCCTCCATACTTTCTAAGACGATGTGCAGAAGTCCTAGTTTCTCCTCTGACACAGATTGTTAACCGTTCATTGATAGATGGCAGATTTCCTGTAGAGTGGAAGAAGGCGAGAATTATTCCGGACATTACTGGTGAAATCGATAAAGGTGGATGCTGTCTACACAGACTTTAGTAGCGCATTTGATAAAGTTCCTCACTCATTATTATTGGTAATCCATTGAAATGGGTTATAATTCGGCACTTTGGGTAAAAACCCGGTTGAAACCCTTGCGAACTGACTGGGTTTTTATCCTCTGATTACAATGAAATAATTTTATCTTATTTTTCCGATTATTATGTTATTGTTATTAACGTGTTACATGTATTGCAAAACACCATATCTTAGATAAGATACACATAAAAAGGAGAGATGTAATTATACCTAAAATTGTTACATATTCAATTTGTATTGTGACTTATTTGGGTGATTTCTGGTTTTTGATTATTGGGGATATTTTAAGTTAGGTTGTGATTGTGTGGTGAGTCACTTTAAATTTTATTCATCAGTACATATTGATAAATTTGTTTTTAGCATACACATTATATTCTCGAAAATCGATTTTGAAAACGTTTCGACGTTCATTACATTATCATATTCAGAAGTAAGTATCCCCCTGTCCTGTTAATAACAAATTTAGTCCACCCCCCCTTTGTGTATGTCGTATGTAAATATATTAATTATTACGTAACTCAAAAAATTTTAAGAATCCAGAGGCAAAAATTATCCTGTAGAATTGTTTTGTACGAAGTATTATAGAATATGGATCTATAGTCAGGCGTCCTGATTACGCAATATACACGCTTAGGCTGGAGAGGATACAGAAACGCTTTATTTGTAACCTGATCTATACGGCTGGTGTGGCTAAAACAATTCGCTCATATAAATCAAGACTGATAATGTTCAAAATGGTATCGCTTGAAAAGCGCAGAGATAGAGAATACCGATTTCCGTTTCAAATTAATAGCGACATCTCTAGCCAGGGCTGGTAGCTGTAATGGTATTTTACTGGGTGACGAAATACTTTCAAAGATTTCTCATAGATGGCGCAACGGCTAAAAAGTCTTTTAAAAGCAAGTACTAAGATCCGATAAACACTGGCTTAGTTGGCATAGCGTTTGGCACGGTTTGCTAGAAGACGTCGGATCGAATCCGGCCGGATCGAAGGAATTTTTTCTAAGTGTTCGTTCTTTGTATTAATAATTATAACAAAACTAGTAAGTTCATAAAAAATAAATGAATATCGTAGTGCTAAAACATCCAGACATTCAATAAAATATTTAAAGCGCAGAGAACTTTTGAACCTTCGTTTCTTACACAAAATTTTAAATAAGAAAATTGATTGCCCGCAATCGACAGCAATGTTCAAATTTACAATTCCGAGCTCAAAGATAGCCTTGTCGTAAGAATGTTGCCCTTCTATCGCCACCATTTAGAAAAGAGTCTGCTGTCTGTCTAGATTACACTATGAGCACATGCCACAGTGGATATGTTCTCGGACTCGCTAACCGGTCTCCGTAGAGCAATAATTAGCTTGTAAACATCTTATCTATAAGTATTATTAATGATTTTCATGTTTTTATCTATATTGTTCTCTGTTTCATTTGTAATTGTATTCGATTTCATAGCACTTATATATTAAGACTAACCTGCTCAATGCAAGTTGTATTTTATCTGTCACTAGTTGTGCATTTTGCACATGTTATTTGATGTAAAAAAAGTAGTATCGGGTAAATAGTATCAATAGAAACTAAAGTGATGACAAAAGTATCGATACCTTGAGGTATCGATATATCTCAAGGTATCGATACTTTTGTCATATCTATATTTTTCTGCTAACTAAAGCGGCTAAGTGACAAAATAGTTTTTTGAAATATCATGTAAATGATAACCCAGTTTTAGAAATTTGAAATTGTTTTATGATATTTCAATTATGCATCGTTTAGAGTAAGTTCCGATAAATCGAACACGTTGACTAATTTTAACTGTTTTTAAAAGACAATTTTGTACTCTATCTTTTTCTGTTTAAAACGAATATTTGACCATTTGTCACTTAGCCGTGTTTTGCTTAGTGGACGGCAGTTTTGTCCTGCAGATTTTTTTACACGTGACGAACACTAAGAAATGATTACGAAACGAAAACGAAAATGTTAATTCAAACGTTTGTAATTATTTTTCATCAATCTCATTCTTATAAAGAGGCAAAGGGTGGCATACCCTATAAATCCATGTCATTTGTGATGAAGGTTTGCCATTTAAAAAAAAAATCGCTGGGTGGCTCGGCGGCGCTATGATATTAGGTATCCTAAGTAGGAATTTCGAAATTCGAAACTATACGATACATTTCAAAAAGTATTACCAGAAAGTATCGAGTACAAAAGTATCGGTATCAAAAGGAAAAGTACTCGATATCAAAAAGTATTGATACTTTGTCCTATCCGTCCTATGCATAGAGACCCGCTCTATGCATAGGACGGGAACGTTAACGTTAGCACTTTTGTCTCAAAGCGGCGTGGATTGAAAAGTCAAGGGTTGCGTGACTAACGATGTTGCACTCCGCCTGAGTTGTGGTACACTTCGAGATGAACGTGTTAAGATGAGCATTTAGTGATCCCTGTGTAATTCAGGCAATTGTTTCAGGTACACCAAAGCTGCTTGCAGAGGTGGGTGGACGAGAAACAGCGTGGCAACATCACGAGAAAGGTGCTCTGTCCGCAGTGTAAAGCGGAGTATATTGTAGTGTTCCCATCAATGGGAGCCTTCGTCGCGCTACTCGATGCCTTGGAGGAAATCACCCATAAGATCTGCCCGTTCATCGCTGGCGGAGTTCTTTTGGGTTCAATCTATTGGATCGCCATCACTTATGGAGCTGTTACAGTTATGCAGGTAAGTACCCGTGGTTCGGCCACTTTAGATGATATAATTAAGTATAATATTAATAATAACGCACACACCAGCCCCGCACTAGGGCAACACTGCGTCGCCGGTGCCGTGGACACGCACATAGAAAATCACAAATTACATCCCAGCCCAGTTACTTACACGACGCGAAAGTTTTCGCGCGGGCCCCACATGGCGTCCGCCCAGTTACTACGCTTTCACGTACATTAATGGCGAATCTGAATTCTATTTACTAGGCAACAACAGTTAAATTAAACAGTTAAGTTAAATTAAAATAATACAACCGCGCGGGCACAGCGCGGCCGCCGCGTGGTCCAAAGAAAAGCCAAGCTCGCTAGAGCGCCCGAGACGCTCATTTAACTTAAAACGTAAAAGCTAAACAAATATAGCGTATTTTGCTATGACAGTTAGATGCACGCGGTCACTGCGCGGCGGCCCCGTGGCGTAAGCGCGATGAAATTCGTATTGAATAAACACTTAGGGCCTAGTTCCCACTATGCACAACCGGCGAGTTCGGCGGGTCGATAAAACTATCGGAAAGGCCAGTGGCTGTACAATTTATATGAAGCTATTCACTTTACGCCGGACCCGGCAAGAATGCCAAGCTCGGCATTGTTTCCGGAGCGTTTGTCACTGCAGACCGAATGACGACGAAAGTCGTCCCAATAAATCATCAAAAGAGGATGCTGTCATTCGAAAATAATTGAAGAACTTTGACTCGTCACTTCTCAGTTGGCCTATTAAAAATCTTTCCCGTAATATAGGATATACCTAATGTTCTCTTTTTACTGTATTAAGCCTTCAAAGATACCACCACAACACCACAATTTCGTCGTCTATCGTGCGCAGTGGTCTGAATTCGACTGAGGTGAGTACTTTAGTTTCCGGTTTTCTTGCGATATCCCGCTTAATGTGAACACCTAGTCCGGGTGCCGGTTTCCCGGCGAATTCGCCGGTCCGACGTAGTGGGAACTAGGTCTTAGAGTGACAAATTCGGTGATGAGTCCAGTTTATATAATTATAAAAATGTGGTTTGTCTATGTGTGCATCCATGGCACCTTTGACGCAATGTTTCCCTTGTGCGGGGCTATGAGTGTGTGCGTGTGAACGTTATTTCCCAATTGGTCCTACCGGAAATCTGACCCGGGACCTCTTCATCCACAGTATAAATTATTGGATCACCGAGGTGGTCAAATTGTTTACCTTTGCTACCTCGTTTACCTTTATTATTAAAATTTCCGTCAATGGCGTTGAATGGTCAAGATATTTAAATAGATATATATATATTTACGTCAAACCGGTCTTGGTTTGCTTTGTTTGGCACCTCGTTCTTTTAATACTTTAGACCAGTTTTCCTTCATCGGTTATTCTTGCCATTCGCCGAGGTTGTACAAATTAGCGTACACTCCGTTTGCTTGCCCAGATTTCAGATGTCGAAATTATGTATTTGTATAATAATATACCGTATTCGAACATATGCTATTACTCGAGGACGCTTCTTTAGCACAATGGCTTTATAATTTCACTGGAACATGAATTATTTTTTTTAGCAAATTACACTTTAAGTGGCGGTAATCATTTTACGGCGTGGTCGTCTCAGTGCTTACCGCTTTGAGCATTTTGCAACCGGAAGGCGCAGTGTACTATGAACTTAAGTCGAAGACCATGCGCATAGTGTTTCTTTTTTAACCGACCTCAAAAAAGGAGGAGGTTTTCAATTCGACTGTATTTTGTGTGTGTATGTTAAGCGATAACTCTTCGATTCAATTAGTGAACCGATTTTTATGGTTCTTTTTCTTGGAAAGACGGTATCTCAGAAGTGGTCCCATTTAAATTTGAAGAAAATACTCCACCTATAAGGGTGACAAACAAGTTGAATGACTTTTGAGTTCGGTTTTTTTAGTACTCTGTACTGAGATTATTTATATTAACGAACAAGGTGCGCCTGACGGTAAGTGACACGCCTGTCCATGGAAGTAGCAGTGCCACTCAAGAGTTTTAATTCGCTAAGATTTGAGGGGCACTGTAATTTCACCAGCACCTTTACCTCCTGTTCACACGACATTGCACTGCAAGTTTTTTTGCAGTATAAATCCAAACCGAATAAACAGTGGCGCATACATTATGATAGAATAATTCACACGTCGTTTGTACTGCAAAAACACACATAGTTATATAAGTTTATCGAATACTGACTGGTAATGGTCACATTACTGCTTGGCGGCAGAAATAGGTAAGGCGGCAGTATTTCCCTGGACGAACTCTTTTCATAAGGAGCTCTACTGCTTCTAAAACTATGTGTTCAAAAACCTGTCAGATGAGACATTTTGAGTGAAGCTTAGCAAGCGATGCGTTATAGAAGAATAGAGAATTAGAGAGATTATGGAGTGTCTCCAGATCAGTGATAAAGATAATCCACTAAATTAGAAAGATTTCTAATTTCTCGGTCGGGCCAATACCTTACCCCGCCATGTGCAATTCAATTTCTCATGTAATTAATGGCCTTGTGTGAACGTGCATCCTGAGCCACGCCACTAGTTTACCTTGTCGTTTAATAAAGAATCTTGAAGAAACTGACTGTGATATTAACTTACGTGTAGATTACGTTGCTAATTTGTACTTTTCGCTAGACTGACTTAATGGCTTGGCTTTGTGGAATGGCTCGTCAATTGGCCCCGTGTAAATGGGTCATTACAGACACAGGTTCGTGTCCTGTCAGATCGAAGGAATTTTTATTATTTTTAATTTGCCTTGGAAGCATTAAACAATCATTTTGAAATATACGTTACCATGCACACTATGCCATCAAAAAAAAAACAGCTATTAATTCCGTGTCTTATCTGACAGGATTTTCGAACACTGTGCATGCGTACTGTAGCGTGGACAGCTCTATGTTCAGCTGGTATTTATTATTTAAATTCAACTCAATGCCGCTTACTATAAAAACTGTTCAAAGTCCAAGTTGTAAATCTCAGCGAGCTCTTGACAATGAGTTGTAATTAGTCAAGGAAACTCTGCTACTGCTAAGTATGCAACAACATTGAAAAAAAAAGCAAAGATACGCCCTCTTATTAACAGACTTCAAAATACGAGGAGGTTCACAATGCGACTGCATTTTTTTCTTTTTTGTGTGTTTGTGATGTGATTACTCGATTTCGATGATTCCTTTATTTGGTTTAAAAGGGGGTACCTCAGTAGTGATTCCATTCAAATTTGAAGAAGACGGTAAACTTAAATGGGGGTGGAATCCAGTTTATTGAATTTCACCCACTTCCCGTTTATCGATTTCAACAAAATTTTGCACATAAAAATGGAAGTAAATTAATTTGCTACTCCGCGAACCCAGTGAAAGTTAAATCGTGCAAAATAGCTGCACTTGTGTTGAATATTTTTTTCATGCAGTTAATTTTCCTACCGGGAGGGTAGGGTTAAAGATGGAATAGTAAAGAAAAAAAACGAAATAACGATTCATGTGTGTGATAATCGGTTTGAAATCTTAGAACTAGAATAATCATGTGTGTTAGTCAGTGGCGTGGCGTGAAAATTGTCTTTAGTAAAGCTGGAGTAGAGCAAAACAAACCCACCTTCACAAAAAGTGGCTCGTTGAAAAAGCACCACATTTTTTAACACTCAAGATACTAGTACACTTAATTTCACTAGTTAAGTTATTCCACACATAAAATTACACACATTAGTGAATTACTACTAAAACGTGTGAAATTTTAGGCAAGCCGGTGGGAAACAAGTTGTATGCACACCTCGCCACTGGTGTTAGTTCTTTTTTTATGAACATAGCAGGCTGTAGCAGAATATCTGCGGTGTTGTGAAACGCTCCGCCATTGTGCTGAACTACAAACCTTTTTATCGCACACAACTATTGTTAATAAACACTGTAGAGCTTATTTCACCTACTTAGGTCACCTTTCTACGAGGTTCACTCTAAGCGTTTGGAAGGCGTACAGAACAGAGCTCTCAAAATAGTAAGTTACAAATCACACATGGGTCGCAAATTGTCGCGTTACGAAGAGAGGTTATCCCATTTTGAGGTTATGTCCTTGAATTCTAAACGTAGGGTACAGGATCTTCTACATTTACATAAATTGCTTCACGGCAGCCTTAAATCGTCAACGCTTCTGTCCCATATTAATTTTAACATCAAGTGCAATCCACGATGCCTTCCTAGACCATTCGTATTGAATGTTTATACTAATAATATTTCTTTTTACAACCCTTTGACGAGAATGCGTCGGGCTTACAATGACCTTATGGCTGACCCTGGCGATGATTTAGGGATGGATATATTTGATGGTAATGTTAAAAGATTTCGCAATCGAATCCACAACCACGGTTTCTCTCTTTCATGGTTATAGTCATAGTAATTCAATTTTATTTACAGTTTTATTTGTGCCTAAGTATTTTTTATTAATTTACAAACAATTTATATTTCAAACAAAATTGTTTACGCATGATTGGTCATGCTGTATGTACATGTTTAGGTTTACATTCAAGAGTAGAACTAGTAGTAATGTTTAAGCTTTGGTTAAGGAGTGAATGTAAACTGTTTTGTACATCTAATAAAAAAAATAAAAAAATTATTAATGTGTTGAGATAAATAAACGATTTTATTATTGTTCCTCCTAGAACTGATCTGATGATGAAAATGGCAGATGAATTTAACTTCTCAACAGTGTACAGAAGCTACATTGTGTTTTAATAATAATAAGACATTTATTCATAAGCACATTACAATAAAAAGCTAAACAGTTAACAGTTTCGGTAAAATGTGCAATCTAGTGCCAATGAAAAGGACAGAGCACTCAGTGCTACATGTAGTTTTTCAGTTTCCACCTTCATGGACATCCGCTGTTGACAATTAACAAACTTCACAAGAATTACACATTTTAAATCTGCAGGATATGCCTTAAATTAATTTATTATTTCGATGAGCACACGAGTATATATGTATATTACAAGTAAAAGACCAT